TAGACCAAAAGGCGATGTATCAAAATATAGCAAGGAAAATGGAGATTTGTTACCTAAGACAGGAGAAGGCATCCGATTAGTAAGATAGAATGCAATGAGAATAATATCAGCCCAATATGGTCATTCAAGTTAAACATCAAAGTGTGGGCAACATCTAACAAATGACGATGCTTACGTTCGGCAGCGCCATTTTGTTAGGAGGTGTGAGGACAGGTGGTTTGATGGATAATATCACGGTCAGCACAAAAGATTTTTATAAAAGATTTGAGTATACTCAAGGGCATTCTCAGACCAAAGCACTTTAATACGATCATCATACTGGATCAGAATTTCATTATAAAAGGTGGTAAAGACTTTGAGTAATTCATATCGATCTTTCATAAGAAGTAATTAAGTCTNTTTTGTTAGGAGGTGTGAGGACAGGTGGTTTGATGGATAATATCACGGTCAGCACAAAAGATTTTTATAAAAGATTTGAGTATACTCAAGGGCATTCTCAGACCAAAGCACTTTAATATGATCATCATACTGGATCAGAATTTCATTATAAAAGGTGGTAAAGACTTTGGGTAATTCATATCGATCTTTCATAAGAAGTAATTAAGTCATACGAAAGAAATCAACAACAAATATTACGCAATACTGAAACCTATAAATACTTTTTGACTCTTACAAAACCCCAAATGTCTGTATGAACAATATGAAACGGACTTGACTGACGACTTGAAGAACTATGAGGAAACGAACTACGGTGATACTTGCCTAATTGATAAGCTTCACATTTTAATNTATCGATCTTTCATAAGAAGTAATTAAGTCATACGAAAGAAATCAACAACAAATATTACGCAATACTGAAACCTATAAATACTTTTTGACTCTTACAAAACCCCAAATGTCTGTATGAACAATATGAAACGGACTTGACTGACGACTTGAAGAACTAAGAGGAAACGAACTACGGTGATACTTGCCTAATTGATAAGCTTCACATTTTAACATAGAACTCAAATTAAGAATAACTTGCTGTAACTTCTGCAATGAAGGATGACCTATTCAAAGTGCCACTGAAGAGGAAACACTGTAGCACTCAAGGAAGGAACTGTTATTCTAGAATCCAAATAGTAAAGTTCATTTTGCTCATCCCCAAATCAATCACCTTCTTCGTCTAGAGGTCCTGAAAAACACAAGATCGAAAAAAGTCACTGAATACTGTAAAGACTTGGTTAATTGACTCACAGATAACAAGTTAAAGGGAAATTGAGGGACAAATAAACTAGATGTTAATGATGTCGATTCGGTAGGATAAAGATTGTCAATCCTATATATTGGTTTAAAAGAATCATTAGCTAACACAGTACGAGAGTTAGAAGAATGAAATTTAAAAAACAAAGAAGAAATATCAGACATGTAGGCACTAGCTTCTGAATCAATAATCTTAGATGGTGAAGCTGATTGTCTAGTCACATGTGTAGAATTACCTTCAGTAGCCAAACCAACAACTGAAGTAGACGATTGGGGAAAAATGAGGATAATTGTTGAAGAAACTGACAAAGCTGAGAAGTATGGGCATCAGGCGAGATAACAGTCCAACAAGCTACTAAATCCAAGAATCCAGATAGTAATTACCTTTTCAAGAGCAACCCAAAACAAGGTCCACCACAAACTAGCCCAAAAAAAAAACAACCATTTTCCATGGCTGTTGAATACCCAAAGATCGACGCACTGTAGAATAGCAAACCACAAGAAACAGTTGACACACAACGAAAACTAACAAGCAACAAGGAGAGAAACCATAAATAAATAAATTAGTAACCCTGTACACTAATCAGGAATAGGGGAGCATTGCTCAAGTGGAAAAACAATGTTATCAACACTGTTTTGCTCTCGAAGTACCTCCAAATCAACTCAAAACAAGTTATGCAACTCATAGATCAACCAGCACGCTTAATTGAGCCAAAAACCAAAATCGCTGCAGAAACCCAAGCCAGGACGGCCTCTCACGATGTCGTCGAGACCACAAGAACCACCAAAACAACACCAAAAAACAATCGAAATCACTGGGCAATTCACATGATACAATTTAAATAGGAAACACAAAGCCTGGACTAGTTTGGTCATTATTCACGCCTTAGAACTGTAAGTTAAAGGTCCTTGAGAGCCAAAAAACACATCCAAACATGCCTAAGAGGTCTGGGCAACATAGGGGACCAATCCTTGGTCCAAATCAGTACCCTAGGGTATAGATCCAAGCAACAAACCAGTCAAAAAGGGCCCCAATTTTCAGATCTGAGAAATAGCTTAAATTTTTTCGAAAATCATTCAAAAATAGGAAACATGCTTTAGATGGCTTCAAAAAAAATTGGTAAAAATCACCATAATATCTCTATGCAAACTTGAACTACTGGGTAGGTCTGATGGTCATCAACTGTCGACATCATGCGACTGATAGGTGATGTCGACAGTAGGAAAACGTTCGAAAATCTTCTATAATTTTTTTTTGATGTTATATAATTTTGAATCAATGTTCTGATACCAAGTTGAAATAATAAAATGATATTAAGTTTAGAATAAGAGGAAAGAAAATGAGTAGAAGAGACGAAAGAAAAGAATAATTAGTTTTGTTAGAGCTCCTCTGTTGCCCAACACCTTTGTATTTATAACTAAGTAATGTTTAGGATAATGACATTATTACCCTACACTGGCTAATCGACTAACTTATGACTTAATATAGAAAATAAGAACTCTAATAGATACTAACTATAAGTACCATCACAGATTAGAACATTTATAATTCTCCCTTTATAAAGAACAATTAATATTTTTATATTTTTTTTTTTTTTTGACTTCTACTAATCATGAGTGACACCTATCAACATATTATGATCAACTCTCAGATGGCACGAGGTAAGTAAAGAACTCATTCAATCTACGGTTGCTATGCAATTTAATTTGTCTATCAAAAAATGTCCCAATTGGATTACTAGGGTACGGAATTATTGTTAAGCCCTTAACTAATCTTATGTGTTCAATATTAAGACTATAACTTCTAATAATCAATTCGAAATTCTTTTCTAATTGTTATTTTGCCTAGGTCATGGATTCCTTGAGTCATATCCTAAAAGATCACATAGGACATTCTTCATTTTTTGTTAATAGTGCTAGATTCTATGTGGTACACTCATAAGTTTCCATGTATGTTTAACTATGTCCAACAATACCTATCCAATTTACATAGTTAGTATATGAATATGTTGTACAGTTCAAGTGTAGAAGTTCATGCCCAATACAACTATGGTGTCTCAAGTCTAAGGATAATTTGCATAACTATAACTCAAGATTTAACATTGACAGATATGTAAAACTCCATATGAAAAATCGTAAGTTAGTTAATAGTCATGTTCGATGTACTTGTTCTCTATCAAGCACCTACACCCCCNACATATTATGATCAACTCTCAGATGGCACGAGGTAAGTAAAGAACTCATTCAATCTACGGTTGCTATGCAATTTAATTTGTCTATCAAAAAATGTCCCAATTGGATTACTAGGGTATGAAATTATTGTTAAGCCCTTAACTAATCTTATGTGTTCAATATTAAGACTATAACTTCTAATAATCAATTCGAAATTCTTTTTTAATTGTTATTTTGCCTAGGTCATGGATTCCTTGAGTCATATCCTAGAAGATCACATAGGACATTCTTCATTTTTTGTTAATAGTGCTAGATTCTATGTGGTACACTCATAAGTTTCCATGTATGTTTAACTATGTCCAACAATACATATCCAATTTACATAGTTAGTATATGAATATGTTGTACAGTTCAAGTGTAGAAGTTCATGCCCAATACAACTATGGTGTCTCAAGTCTAAGGATAATTTGCATAACTATAACTCAAGATTTAACATTGACAGATATGTAAAACTCCATATGAAAAATCGTAAGTTAGTTAATAGTCATGTTCGATGTACTTGTTCTCTATCAAGCACCTACACCCCCGCTTGAGTGTCCCTACACTAGTGCCATAGACAAGACACCTCACATCAAATATGAGTAAACATAGTGTATGCTAGTTTATCAGGATTACGTAGTACTCACATAGTAAGTCTATGATTAGGAATCTTTAAGAGTTAAATAATAAGAAGAACATGTCTCTTCTCCTCAACGCCTTGAGAAATTATCTTCTTAATGTATCATGCATGTTAAAATGAAATAAACCAGTAATATGATAGATAAACTTGCACNCTAGGTCATGGATTCCTTGAGTCATATCCTAAAAGATCACATAGGACATTCTTCATTTTTTGTTAATAGTGCTAGATTCTATGTGGTACACTCATAAGTTTCCATGTATGTTTAACTATGTCCAACAATACCTATCCAATTTACATAGTTAGTATATGAATATGTTGTACAGTTCAAGTGTAGAAGTTCATGCCCAATACAACTATGGTGTCTCAAGTCTAAGGATAATTTGCATAACTATAACTCAAGATTTAACATTGACAGATATGTAAAACTCCATATGAAAAATCGTAAGTTAGTTAATAGTCATGTTCGATGTACTTGTTCTCTATCAAGCTCCTACACACCAGCTTGAGTGTCCCTACACTAGTGCCATAGACAAGACACCTCACATCAAATATGAGTAAACATAGTGTATGCTAGTTTATCAGGATTACGTAGTACTCACATAGTAAATCTATGATTAGGAATCTTTAAGAGTTAAATAATAAGAAGAACATGTCTCTTCTCCTCAACACCTTGAGAAATTATCTTCTTAATGTATCATGCATGTTAAAATGAAATAAACCAGTAATATGATAAATAAACTTGCATTTGTATTTAATTAAGTAATGAATGTTGTTAGTACAACCTTAATGTCATCTGTGCAATTGATCTTTAGGCATACTACTAACAAGATGATGATGTCAACTCTCATTTATTTCTTTAATAAAAAATGACAAAAGAATATAAATTGATGATCTTTGTCTATACGAATTTTGCAAGCCTTTCCTACAGTTTATGAACCATCCCGTTGATCCTATGCAAAAAAATGGTATGAATTGCCACTTGTCATTCAAACTGTGCATCAACCATTAAAGCTTTAGGATGTAGTTACTGGTTTTCATTCACACAGTGCATCAACCAAAAGAGCTTTAGGAAGTCCTGGACATGGATCACCACCAAAAGTTCGATATGATTGAGGAATGGAGCATCTCTTCTTCCCTAGACAAGCCTGGAAAATTATAATGTGTTAAGAATGTGCTAGTTAAGAACAATATGAAATGTGTCATACTAGTCCTATATATATCTACCTCAATGACAAAAGCAATAAACATGTATATAGAGTTATATCAATGTAGTGTATATACAATATGTAGGCTCTACCATTCAAGTGCCCTAATAATTTATGCTTATTAGGGCAATATATCAGCATTACAAAGTGATTTTGAACCACCTCGCTTGATAAATTTTTTCAGGCCCCTTTCTATGTTAAATATGTTTTCAAGGAAATAATGAGTAAAATGGTCAACCCACTACTGTGGCCATTTTTTTTAAGAAAAGAACTATAGGGTATGTTCGTCATTGATTTCTCTTTGAATTAGATACATATCAGTGCCAAGAAATACTCTCTTGAATACCAGAACTAATGCTTCTAGCATCAGTTCTCTTCTTGGATGGTGCACCATTTGTTTTAAGAAAATAACTGTGGGACATGTTCTTCATTGATTTCTCTTTAGAATAGATCTCGAAGATAAAGTCAAACAAGAAATGCCCAAGACTAGAACTATGATTTTAATACCCCGCAAAATTGTGTTAATGCAAGTTACCTACAAAAGTAATTAAAGTAGTAGTTTACTATCTCTTAAGTTATCTGTCATATGTGACTTCCATTCTCTAATGGACATGGAAGAACTAAGAAAAGCAAAAATGTTTAAAATCTTACCTTCTCCACAATGGCTTTGGAATTTGTTGAATGACAGCTCCCTATAGCGTAACTTCCACAGTCACCCAAAGGATTCCCAAAGCTTGCAAACAAAATCTTTGTAATGTTCCTATTTGGAGGACAACGAAGGTGAACTTTAGGTCTTCTGCCATGATGTTCTTTATGCTTCATTTCACTCAGTTTATGTCCCTTCCACAATGTTACAGGGGGTGGATTAGAATCAGAAACATGGCCACAAACTTTTGTGATTGAAATAGTGTCTATTGAAATGCCAAGAGGGTTGCCAAATTCTTCATCAAACAGAACTAGTAGGTTGCCTGTAGGTCTCAGGAAGGATCGGGGTACATTGTACCTACAAAGATCAAGATGAATTATGTGCACTTAACATATATTTTGTATGTGAATTGTTTTGTGTAACTAGTTTTTTTGGAATTTTGAAATCATTTCGAAAAGTATAATGACAAAGTAGGGGCTAAAAATGCTTTGGTCAAACCATAAAAATGAATTGGAGAAAAAGAACTTGAAGGAAGTTTGAGAAAGAAAAGCTTATGGATCTTTCTAAAATCATATAATAATTCAGAAGTTTCATATGGTTATATTTCGGTGGTAACATTCATAGGCATCCAGGATTATTGTTCAACAAAATTAGCACTGTAAGTTTACACTCTTCACTAAAAATTTAAGAGTCGTCTACCACACTAGCTATTGAAGCGTAATCTTACCTACATATATTTTTCCTAATTCCTCCTCCATTTCAAATTTTGATGCAGCATTGCATAGCAACCTAATGACTAAACCGAAATTAATTCATCATACAAATTACATTACCATGTTTGCGAAGGAGAACCTCCAGTCGTACGAAATGAGACCCAATATCGACCAATACTTTGGCCATTGACCCAAGCTTCACCTTTTCCCATGGAGCCCAGGTTCAATGCAATTGGGTCCTTACCCCCAGGTGCATCAAATGCGGCCTGTTAAGTGTCAATCAACAAATGGTTAGTGTGGGTTAAAAGTTCCAACAAAACTATACACAAGCAACTATAGGCCATAAATATCGTCAGAGACAATGATTTCATAAACAAATAAACAATTGAGAGTAGAAAGTGTTGCTTTTGAATGATTTGAAAATAGTAGAAGAGTCCATATCAGAACCAATTTTTCAAGAATGAGCTTCCATTATTAAAGGTGATTACGTTTCAATCAGTGAAAAGTGCAGATGTATGCAAAGTATTAAATAGTACAGAAAATTTTAATGATACAAAAGAGTTGATGATGTGTATTGGACATCCAGGTGGTATGAATCTACTCAAATCCCTCTGTGGCGCGTTCAATAATATCTAACTAAGTTCTTGACTTTTTAGAACACTCAAATGCATTCTGTATATGGGATATGCATACCACAGGATGCAGTAATCCTGTCTATTTATCTTCAAACATAGGGGGTTAAAGCTTCGTATTGCACTGCCCAATATTGTGCTACAATTCCAGGTTAAATACTCTGGAATCATTGAAGTTCATAGGACAATTAATTGTAATTTAAAAATGAAGAATTGTCTTTTTAATGTATTATGTAAGTTTAACATCCAATGTTACCTCAAAATGCCCAATTCAATTTTAAATTTCACAAGAGTTAGAACCACAACTTGTACCATAGGTGCGCCGACAATGAATAGAGAACCCTGATGTAGAGGGCCTGGAGAGAACTACTTCTTTACCTTATACCAAGTGAGCGGTTGAGAAGACGAATTAAACCTGCTCCACTGAACCTTACTCAATCCTTCATTCTTGTAAATTTTTAGTCTCTCCCCTAGCAATCCAACCTTCGTAAAATCATTCTATAAAATTAGAATAAAGTTTTTGAATCTATGGTCTAAGATCAGCCAGCACTGTTAATAATTAAAAATTCATTAGGAGTTCATGTATTTTTGACAATGTTTGTTGTTGCTTTGCAATTTGCAACCATAGAATCATATGCAAACTACATCAGTGGTGTACCTTTAATTTAAAGGTGGAAATGAGCATATTGATAGCCATAAGACGNAGGAGTTCATGTATTTTTGACAATGTTTGTTGTTGCTTTGCAATTTGCAACCATAGAGTCATATGAAAACTACATCAGTGGTGTACCTTTAATTTAAAGGTGGAAATGAGCATATTGATAGCCATAAGACTGTCAATTACCTGATATCCCCATGTATAATTTGTCAAATCTTTGCTTTCTTGTTTCTGTTGGAGACTCACTGTGTTTGGTCCAGCAGACCTTCTCTCAAGAAATGCACCAGAATCCTTCACATTACAGATGATGTATTAGGTATTATGAAAATAGTTGGGTTGGGTTTATTGTTTATTTTTTCTGTTGAAGTAATTCATTACAAGTAAAGCAAAATCACTGGGTTGGAAGCAACTCTAGAAGGGTTGCTGTGTGTGTTAGATATTTCTACAAATACATTGTTTTTAACATTGGATTAATATATGCTTTAATAGAGATGTCTCTTATGTTACTGATACGGGCATACGAATGAGACATTTCTACTTCTGAATTTATTTTGTAAAAGAAGGGGGGAGCCCAAGGTTTTTTGGAGAAGCGACGTGAGTTTCATTTCTAATACTATTTACTTCAGAAATCTTCAAAATTTTATCACCTCATGGAGGTGTTTCCTTGAAGACTTCCTCTATTAATAACTAATTGTGCAAATTACTGGAAAAGACCTCAAATCGAGATAGAATGGTACCGGCAGTCCAACCATTACGCTCAGTAAGGAGATGTTGTTCACTCCATTACTTAAAGAAACATTGCTCTTCAGAGTAAAACTTGTGTTTTTGTAGGTTCCATGTGAAGATCCTAAAGAACAGCAAAATAAGCAATTAAATGTTTTCATAAAGCAACAAAAAAAAAACTCTTTCTATCTTTGTTTGTCATAAGAGAAAGAGGAAGAGATCCTTGCAGACGGCTCCATCTCCCGTCTCTTCGNGTATAATGAATCAGACTGGGAACTTGGCCTAAAAATTCAAGTGAGAGAGAAAGAGACCAATTTTTATTCAATTTTTCACGTTTCTAATGTCACTGTAGGTCCTTCCTTCAATGGAATCATGTGTTCTATGATGAGCACCAATGAAAAAGTGTGTTCTAGTTAGAAATGTCTTTCTGCTAAATAGATACAATGGAAGATTATTGTGTCTGAATGCGTTTCTTATAGCTGGAAAAAAATTAATCCAATGAAAATCATTCCCCTGTATGTGTCAGAAAGTCTCACTCTTTTTTCTCCTTTTTCTCCCTTTTGTAATTCTTTTAGAATCTCTCTCTCTTTCTCCCCCCATCCCCCATAGAAAAAAATACATTAAAAGAGGCCACTATTTATTATTTGCCCCGGAAAGCACAGGGTGTTGGTAATNAAGTCTCACTCTTTTTTCTCCTTTTTCTCCCTTTTGTAATTCTTTTAGAATCTCTCTGTCTTTCTCCCCCCACCCCCCATCCCCCATAGAAAAAAATACATTAAAAGAGGCCACTATTTATTATTTGCCCCGGAAAGCACAGGGTGTTGGTAAGGGTGGAATTGGTACTGGCCAAATCCTTGGGATTAGTTGCACAAAGTGACTACCCTCAAAGTTAAGCTCTTGTTATCACACTCAACAGCAGCAGGTTTATACCTATTGCAGCGAACAATGGCGTCTTTCATGAATATAAAATGTGATAATTAATCATGAAACACATGTGTTTGATTTGAGGGATGGGGCACTCATTTTTTACCACTGCAGCAAAATTATGTAAACCGTAATGCTTACCTACTAGTGTTTCATCCACAAATGCATGTAAAACATGTCCAAAAGAACCCACACTGAGTACAGACTGAGCTTCAGCGGCATCATGCTGAAACCTACCATTGTGCATTTATAGCAGTTAGTAGACAATAACTCCAAGTGTGACCATAATATATCTGTCGTAGGCTTTTACTTTAACTTAAAAATATTTCTGNGGCACTCATTTTTTACCACTGCAGCAAAATTATGTAAACCGTAATGCTTACCTACTAGTGTTTCATCCACAAATGCATGTAAAACATGTCCAAAAGAACCCACACTGAGTACAGACTGAGCTTCAGCGGCATCATGCTGAAACCTACCATTGTGCATTTATAGCAGTTAGTAGACAATAACTCCAAGTGTGACCATCAGTTTTGTCATATGTACATCTGAGGAATTTAATAGACAAAAGATCACAATAGTTTTACTTTCAAACTGCATGATCTCATAACCTATGATGGCAATGTAATGGCTCAAAATGGTTGTGTGCATAGTTGACATTATTATAAGATAAGAGCTACAGGAAATTCGAATTTCTTTGGAGTAGCTTTTGGATTATTTCCTGTTCATTTATAATTTGAGTAGTTGGGATTCCTTTTTGTATATTAAGCTGAAACAAGGGTTGTCTTAGTTTAATGAAAGGCCAGGAATGAACTGAAAACTTTATCAAACTTTGAGACAGAAAATCCTCCTGTCCTACTTTTTTCAACTTATTGGTCAAGTTAGTTTTGGAACTCCATATGTGCTTTATAGTTTACCTGACGGTGTACCAAAGATAATCAGATGCGTCTTTTGTAGTATTCATATGCTCTAACAACATATTCGACATCAATGAGGCCTCATCAAATTTGGGAACAGCTTCTTTGAATTCTTCCCAGCTTTCTGCTGAGTCAAACTGCATGGCTGGTAGCATGGACCTTGTATTGAATTGTGTGCTTACCTGTTTTGGAGAAGCAAGGGCATTATTACAACTAAGCAAAATTCAATTGTGTGGGAATGTCTAGAGAATGAAGAATTACTGTGTTAGTTTGACTTAGTTTCTTCATCATATAATGGAACAAAATCTAGCATTTAAAAGCATGGGAAGGAGGTTAACTGTGTAATGAACCAGAAAATCCAATTCGCAATGGATATTGTGTTCTGGAAATGATTTATATAGGTTGTAGAGATTCAAAACTTACCTTGGCAGTGTTGAAGGCTACCGACTTGCAGTCAGGTAAGATGCTAACAGATTCTGGAGGCAATTCATAGGAAGAATTTTGGAATTGCACCACTACATTTTGTCTACTGTTGTTGTTCACAAGAAAGGCTGCACATTCTCCTGATTCTCCATGGAAGACATAAGCCTTGTTGGATCAATTGACCAATATTAGACCATATCTGGTGTATGAATATAAAGAGAAAGGTACATCACTATCGAAGAAAATTTTTGGGGAGTTTCTTTCAAAATTTCTTACTTCTTGTAGTTGACCCAGGGATAAAGTAACTGGTGCTCCAGAAAGTAAAGTCTTGGAACATAGCTTAACTGCTGCATGTAACTCCTTTAGATGACCCCATTTGGGTTGTCTGATCAAACCTAACATTTATCAGAAACAAACCAAATTTCTATTCAGAGTATACATACATAGTTTTGAGAAAGGAAACAAATATTAGGAAGGCATACCATACTCATCAAGAGGAGCTTGATCATAATAGCTTGTTATCATAAATGCTGAGGCAGTCCTTCCAAAATTAGTTCCTCCATGATACTACAATGAAAACAATATACCTTGTTAAATAGCTAGTGAATATTCCCTATTTGGGCATATTATCACAGGTTTGGATGTTTTAAATACACTGTATAGTGGTGGTTGAGATGCTTGTGTGTCTGTACCATATAATAATTTATGAAGCTCCCATTCTTCTTTGCAATGAATAGAGCAACATGAAAAGCAATGTCCTCAGCTGATCTCAGGAAAGTGTTCTCACCATACGTTTGATAGCTTCACCACAGCAAACAGTTAGCTGATATTTTTTTCTATTACAAGAATAATAGGAGGTGAATGAGTTGATAGCTTACAAAGAAGTCCAATTCTCGGTCCATATTGATGGCTTATTTGGTGAGTTAGGGCCTACAAACGTTTCCCCACATCTCATCCCATTGCATGAATTGATCTGCAGATTTGAAGTTTTTGTTAACTTGTAATTGCATTTTAGCTTCGACGGGAATGCAGACATACCTTGTTGTCATCTACTATTTCTGATCCTTACAGGATTCATAATGGACTCTATGAAATTCCGTTGGAGAGAAGGAGACTGACCACTGGATCAGGAGCATCATCTTGCTTGCACATCATCCATGGCACACCTGTCTGCAGCCCTACAGCCATTTCTGCTGCCCATTGAACGTAAGGTGGCCCTTTTTCACCAAAAGCTTTTTCTACATTCTGGTACTCGTTCTCAATCTACATATATATATAATGTTATTGAGCATGAAAGGTTAGATAATGTATAGTGTACAAAACAATTACTGTTTCAACCTGTGAAAGTATAATTGGACCTCCTTGCGACGCATATAGTCCTTCTGACTTCATCATGTTCACTATTTTCGCCGTGAAGTTTTGCATGTGAAGCTGCCATTGATATAGTTAAGATAGTATCATGAGCAGCACTGCTACTTTAAATGTCACAATGCGAGTATATAACCCTTATGGAGAGAGAATTTGGACAAAGGCAATACCTTAAAGGGGTCATTGTCAGATCGAAAAACAATGCCTGGGACATCATGCAACCAAAACGGGAGACCTCTGCAATTGCATTCATATTCCATTAGTTGTAATGATGTGAAAGGAATGCCTACCATTTAATCCAAAAAATGATGAAAAGATTGTTAGTTTGCACTGTTTTTTTTTTTTTTGGATAGGGTGAATTCTTTAAGATGGGTTACCTTCCAATTAGAAAGTCATCGGTTAAAGTTTCATTGTGTGTTTTTTTGGATTTACTTGATTCTTAAGTTTGACTGAGTTTATAGCATAAAAACAAGTCAAGCCGAGTCTGAACATACTAAAGCTCAAAATATTTGGTTCCATCAGCACTGCTCTAATGCATGTTGGAAGGACATCATACCAAAGTTGTACAATAGGACTTTGATACGATTTTCTTCTATTTATCTTATTGGAGGNTCTGAACATACTAAAGCTCAAAATATTTGGTTCCATCAGCACTGCTCTAATGCATGTTGGAAGGACATCATACCAAAGTTGTACAATAGGACTTTGTTATTTTTCTGCGTTCGCCAGAGTCAAGCAAATTGGTGGGTTTCTTTTTTATTCTACATTAGATTGACAAATAAAAAAGTAGGCAGGGTTGGTTTTTTACCCATAACTCCATTCACTCTCAATGTAGGGTCCAATCCGAAGGCATGCGTATAGACCTTGTGCTTGGATTTCCTTGATGAATCTTACTATATCACGTCTTCCACTGAAATCATACTGCAATGCAAAGAACAATTAGCAAGTATATACACTGTGTGTGTGTGTGTGTGTGTGTGAGAGAGAGAGAGAGAGAGAGAGAGAGAGAGAGAGAGAGGTCTCACCTGCCCGGGTTGGGGCTCATGGAGGTTCCAAAAAACATAGGTTTGGACCACATCTAGGCCACCTTCTTTGGCTTTGGAGATTAAAGAAGGCCACATCTGGAGAAAAAACACATGATGTTTTCTTATATACATGTTATGGCGAATTGCATTTTTTAATTATATATTTGACAATAATTTTGTGCTAGAAGACAGTTTACAATACCAAATATTGAGCATTGATCATATAATATTTATATTTTAAATAATAATTTTTTTTAATTATGCAATTTAAGATTAAACTAAACATAAAAAATTAAGAGATACGGGAGAGAGAAGAGGGTATTGAGAAAAGTGTGCTGATTGAATTGTCTGATATTGGAGGTTATACAAAAAAAAATGATGTTTTAAAAGGGAAAAAAAATTGGGATGTGTTTTATAACAGTGGATCAAAATAGATAAAAACAATGGTTTGTAAAAAATATGCAATATATAAATATATTATTTTTGCATATCAGAGTTTCACTTGACCCATCTATGAATCGTATTAATTTATAATTTTTTGGATAGTGTATATAAATGTATACCGTAATTGTTGAATTTGAGAATTCAAACGATGGTTTATAAAAAATATGCAATCTATTACATTAAAAGAAGTGGTACTCTATGCATTAGGATCCGTGTATAGGGGGATGAGTTGTGAAGAAAAATAAAGAATTTATAATTAAGGAAAGAAAAAAAAAAGAAGGAAAAAGAGAACTTTTTTGTGTGACCTTCATTCATGTGTTTCTTTTGGGAAAATTTGGTGTTTAGTAGGGAAAGAATGATAACGTTGTCACATGATATACTTTCATGCTTTTCATTGTCTTTGGTTGGTAGGATCTGTCTGTTGTTAAGGACGTCACGAGTTTTTTAGCAGTTCTAATCATGTGACATCTTGTTACACTTTGTGGTTTTGCCAACAAATTAAATATGGTCGATGAACATTAACGCTGTAATAACTTATTTTTATCTTATCAAACTAACTTATTTATAATTTATAACATAAAATAGAACAAGTTTTAATAAATTCAGCAGATGGTTTTAAATAAATTCATTCAACAGTTATCAACATCTCTTTCAAGATATATTCTTTTGCACCATAATAACATATCAAAAGAATATATTTGTATGTATATACCTTCGAGATATATAAATGTATATAACTTACATATATATATATATATATAATTAGTTTTTCACCTGCTTATTCTAATTTTGTAGAGATAAATTTTAACGAAGTGAAAGAAATACTAACCTCTCCGTTTACACATCAGAAATGCAGCTTCTTTTCTATGAATTTTCTTTTCTTGGTTGAGTATATGTAATACTATGTATATATATGTACTAGCTGTAATATGAGAGAAAGAGAGAGAGAGAGAGAGAGAGAGCATACATCAGGGGTGCTTCGAGGATAGTGAATGGAACCAGAGAACAAGAGCTTTCGCTGCCCATGGATGATCAGAGATCTGCCATCATATGTCACGTTTCCTTCACTGGCAGCGCCACCGGCCGTGGTTACCACCACTGCTAAGCCAACCCACAACAACCACCACACCATTTTCTGTCTCTCTCTCTTTGCCCAAAAAAATGAAAGGTGAAAATCTCAACTAGGTGACACTGCAAGATACGTTAAGAATGATATATTCATCAATATTTATAGCAAGTTAGAAATCTCTCTCTCTCTCTCTCTCTCTCTCTC